CGCTGCTCGAACTCTGGGGCCTTCCGACGGTTGTTCTGAGGTGATTTAATAAGGGCGCTTTCTACAAGGTGTGTTTTCCTGACTCAAAAGCAAATTGTATTTTTCCATTGATGTTGTTAAGTTGAAGATCTCGACGGCATACGTAAACGATAGCAGATCTTCTGCTGTCACATGCGAGAGGGGGAGTGGATAATTGGATTGAAGTGGAGACACTGAGCACCCGGCGCGAAGTGCATTGCACAGTACGGAACTCAGAAGGTGCGCACAGGGCCCGGCTCCGGGGAGGAGCTGGGCCTCGTTGACTGCTGGGCTGCGTCTGTCCAAGGTAACGTTCCCTGTAAAAACCTCAGGCTCTTAACCATCTCCTCTGAGGAATTACCTTCTAGAGCCTCGCTCTCCTAGTTCAGACTACTTTGTAGCTTGATTAAAGCGTTTAGCATTCTCGCAAAGTTACCTGAGAAGGGGCTGGTACCGGTAGAGAACAATTTCTGTAAGAGCGCGGACTTGTGCGTGGTGACTGTGGTTTAAGCAGGGCACGCCCCCGGTCCCGGAACTACCCCTGCTCGCTGTGCTGTGGCCCCGGAAGGTAATGGCCGCTGGGCGAGACCTCGGTGGTCTGCCCCTCATCCTCCGCATCTCGACATCCAGCAGCTCACTGTTGCCAGCCATCTGTGGTAGTTGTTTGAGCACAGTCACAGACCTCAGCCTGTGGTTTGATCCCCTGGCAGGTCCCTCAACCAGAACTTGAGGAATGCGGGTGTGGGCTCCTCTCATGGTTCATCTTCCTTGGGGAGAAGGGCCCTCGGCCTCCCTGGCTACCCTTCCAGCGTCCGCCACCAGCACCGAGCTCCGTGAGAAGAAGAAAAGAGCCAGGGGTCGGACATCAAACCTCCGTGTTCCTCTTGCTGATGTAGAAGCGCTGGTGGGTGTTAATCCCCTTTATGAAGGAGGGCAGGTGGGTCTGTGGAGAACACAGGGGCCTTCACAGGCTCAGCCACCTTCTCTTTTTTTCTAATTGCACTATACTTGTCCTCACTGCAGTCCGAAGATATTTAAGACCTCTGTGGGGTCATGATCCATAGACTTAGCAAGTCTTGCCTTATCTGTGGAGCTGGACGGGGGGAATGTGACCATTGTCTGATGTCCATAGTTCATTTCCTCCAGGATGTTTCTTTCCTCAGATTGTGTTACTCTGAACCATTTTATTTTTTATTTACCAAAGTACTGTACTTGGCTATTTGCAGTGTTTTCAAAACCAAATGTTTCTTTTTTTGTGTTTTTAATCTTCAATACTTGGTGCAATAGAAGCTGCAAAGATGTGCCACTTTATCTATGAAATGGAGTTTTGTATACCAATAAATTCTAGTTTAAAGAGAAAGTTTCAAGTTGTTTTTGTCACTGTCTGGCCGCCGTTTGCATGAGACAGAGAGCATGCTGGGAAATATCCTCCTTAGAGACCTTGGCACGGAAGATGTGCACGTTCTTCCAGTGTATGCTCGTCTGGGGTCTCACTGAGCTTAAGCAGCTGATTGTAGCTTCCGTCCAGGGGAGTATGGCCGCCGCACACACTGGCAGGGCCATCCCTCAGATTTCTGCCTGGTATCTAAGAACGTCTATGATAGTTCGTAGTTGTCTAAATACAGAGCAGCTGTCTTTTGGCTTCCACCTTGGGGTTTCTCTAGAACTCGGGGGCTTGGTTTGATCCCATTCCAGGAGGGAGCATCTTCCCCCAGGTGCACGTGGGCAGCGGTGACTGCACGGACTCACCTGGAAGAGGTCCTCGGGAGGGGGAAGGGCGGCCACAGAAAACCAGAGGGAGGGGACCCTTTGGCCCGTGCAGCAGGGCGCTGCTCGCACGGGGCTCCAGGGCTCCAGGGCCAGTCACAGGTCAAGATTGCTGCCATCTCACCAGCCTCGCCGCGGCCTCATGATTTTGGCCTCGAGGCTCCTGCTCGCTCTTGGTCTATGTTTGTGCTCATCAAGCAGCCTTTGAATTGTTTCTGCAGGATCTTGGCACTGAACAGTGTCCGGTACCACCCTGGGTGGAAGAATTCTCCAGCTACTGGCAAGGCCGACCCCCCTTGGGCACTGTCCTCCCTGTGTGATTTTTGCCTCATTCCGTGACCAAGAGACTTCTGGGTGCACAAATGCTATCCAGTTCCTGAGCCCACGAGGCCCAGACTCTGGACTCTGTTAACCCAACTGAGAATCTTTCTGAAAGATCCGCTAGGACCAGAGTGCTGTCCCGATGTAAGTGTCCCCTCCCCCCGTTGGAAGACTTCCGTGGCCTCCTTAATTCCATTCCGCAGTGGTTCAGCTGGGGCCGGGGGCCGTGGGGCTTCCTGGCTGGGTCTCGGTGACCTGTGAGATTGGATGAGTCTGTAAGGGCGGAAGTGTCCTCAGGCCACATAGGGGATAATTAGAGAACACAGTTTATTATTTACATTTTCCTCCAGGCTATAGCCTTGCTTACTCTGGGTGAGTGACAAGTTATGGTGCCAAAGATTGAGATACCATAAGAGGGAAAGTGGCAGCTCCCGTGTCCCCTCTTGTTAACTGCTTATGGTTGTCTAGGAGAAAACAGGGTTGAAACCCCCAGGTTTAAAGTTACCTGTTTGCCAGATGCACAGAAAGTGCATGTTGGCCTTGAGATACAACCAAAATTTGTCATCAAATGCTCTGCTCCAATATGATTTTGACTGGACTGCTGGACAGGGTGGGCCCTCAGACCATAGTGATGCAGCGATTTAGAACTTTCTGGGTTGAACAGGATCAAGAACGATCTTGCTGATTCATGGATTCTGGCTTGGCAGAAGGAAAAATTCTCCGCCTTGGAGAAGCTTGTCTGAATTTCCCTATGATAGAGGGATTTAGATATCTCAAGATGCTCAGTTTTTGTTCAATTTATTCACCAATCCAAACATCCAAGAATCCATCCATCATTTACTGAACCTGTGCTGTGTTGGAGTCTATTTCTGGGCATTGAATCAGATATGGACCTTGTCCTCGGAAACCTTTCAGCCCAGCAGTGAAAGCGGATATGTTAACTATGACCCAAGAGAGCACAGGCCATAAAAGGAGGTACTGATAGGAGGGCTGTGAGTTCAGAAGGGAAATCAAGGAAGGCTCTGTGGAGGAAGTGACATTTAGACGAGGCATGAAAGGGAAGATAGGAGGTGGAAATAGGAAGCTAAGATATTTGGGCCTGAAGGACCAGCATAAGCAAACCCCTCCAGTGGGAGAGTAGGATGTCCCACGTGTTTGGGACAGTTTATTAAGGGTAGACAATTCGTTTGGAGAAGGACTGGGAACTCCTTTCTTCAAACACTTGTCGCATGCCTTTTGCTACTGGAAGACTAATGCTGTGCATACTGAATGAATTCCAAAGATCAGAAATACCTGGTTCCTCCTGACCTCTTCTTACAGTGTCACGAGTCAGCCTGTATGTGCATTTTGACCTTGGAACACATCACAGGTAACAGCCCTCCAGGAAGAGTGCTATGTACCGTCTCTCCAGCCAATTTTACCTCATTGCCTCTGTGGGACAACAGATCAGGGCACTGAAGGTTAATGATTTCCAAACACTTGTCCATTTAAGATAAATGTTTTAAGATAAATGGCACTCAGAGTAGTGGGCCAAGGGGCTATTCAAATAAATTAGTATAGTATTTATCATGTGTATAATCGCAATTATCATGTATCTGTGGATTCAATTAAGCAGATATTTATTTAGCATCCACCATGTGATGGATTCAATAGGGGAGACAAAAATGCAAAGTGACCTAGCACAGATGGAGCATCTATGATGCCCCAGGCACTTTGAATAAGTTATCTCATTTAAACCTTAAAACCACCCAGTGAGGCTGATGGTCCCATCCCAGTTTTACACATAAGGAAATAAATAATGGGTCCAAGATCACAGAATTGAACCCAGGGCAGTCTGCCTTCCCCATATAGGAACCCAAAACAAGAGCCCAAATAGCTGGGGTAAGTATCCCTAAGAAAAGTATAAACACATTGCTTGGCTGTTCAGAGGAGGGTGAAATCTTCTCCAGGTGGAAAAGCACATGGGAAAGGTGGCATTTGAGATGTGCCTCAAAGCACATGGGTGTGAATGTGGTGATAAGGAGCCTGTGAGAGGGAGGCTTCCGGGTTGAAGGAAGCTATTGCACAGAGGTGTGAAGACAGGTGGGCATGTTCCGGCAGTGGCGAGGAGCATAGAGAAATATATATGGCGGGAAAAGCAGATGATACCAAGCTTGAATGCCAGGGCTTGGTGGACAATGGGGAGCCACTGATGGTTCAGGGGCAGAAGAGTGATATGATGGAAACCAATCTCTGGGAAAATGAAGCTGGCATTGTGGACAGGATGGAGGCTGGATGGAGAACGGAGGGCTGAAGAACCTTAGGTCCTGAGAGCCTGATCTTGGCTCTATTATGACACTCACCAGTGTAGAGTAATTGCTGTTGTCTGTCTATAGGTTGGCCACGTCAGATTTAGCTCTGTCTCCAGGTTTCAGCAAGGGGCCAGGAGCATGGTTTGTATGAAAGTGTACTGAGGGAAAGAATGGAATTTAATACAGTATTCAGTTCTCCAGCAGTGACGCTGCGAAGAACCCTAAAGAAGTGGACGAATGTCCATGAAATAATAATTGGACTTAACTCTGGAATTCCAACGTGATTTGATTTCTAATCGCTTACTCAGCAAGTTATTTAATTGAACACTTGGTTCATAGCTTTTGTTAGGGGCCAAGTGGGAACAAAAGCAAAAACCATCCAAATCCTATCATCAAAATCGGAGACGCAAGCTATGAAACATTCAGGTAACAAAGTCCCCTCCCCAGGCTTGATTCAGTCCCCATGCCTCATTCAGCCATTCATTCATTCACTCATTCATTCATTTGATAAATTAATAAACAGAAAGCATTTAGAACAGTGCCTGGTGAATGCCGAATGCTTAATAAATGTTAGGTATTTTTTGTTATTATGACTATCATTCATTCATTTATGGGATGCTTATAATGTGCTAGGCATTATTTTGTGTACATCCACACATGCTAATTTATTAAAACCTCGCTACAATCAACCTACCAGGGAAATGTCATTGTTCTATTTCACAAGTGCAGACACTGAGGCTGTCTGTGGCCATATATCAGTGCTTTCAGTGTGCACACGAGTCACCTGGGGGTCTTGTTAACTCGGCCATCTGGGGTCAGGTCCAAGATTCTGCATTTCTAATAAGCTCCCTGAGCAGCGGGGTCTAGAACAGATGCACCACTGCTAACCGGCAGAGCAGAGGGCTCTACCTGGAAGCTCCGACATCAAGTTCAGGGCTCTCCTTTCCTTTTTTCAGCCTTTTCCACCAAGTCTGCACTGGAAATCAAGCGTATGTACTGTACACACACACAAACAGGATTTAGACGGAATCATTCTTGCATTCACCAAATATTTGTTGATTCTTCAAAAAACAGACTGCACCGAGGCTTGTTCTTAAGTTCCAGTTTTCACCCTGTCAGATGGTTAAGCAATTGTAACCTCACAAGGTACTCCTTCCATCGCTGCCTTGAATCCGTAACGCCCAGAGCACCACCTCTCTCCATCTCCCCCAGGTCAGTTCCTTCTTCCTGTGTTTCTCGTGTATGCAGTCGTACCATCATTCTAAGATGTCTGTAAGGACTTATTGATTATTTCTCAGCATATGATTACTGAAAGTGCGAAGCGGCCGGTTTCACTAGCCCAGAAGCATACTTTGCCCCCATGATGAAGGGAAATTCAGGCTTAAGCCAAATTTGTTCCCACCTGTTAGCCTGAACAAAATGGACAACAGAGGGTGCCTCAGGACCACTCTTCCCAACAAACACTGGGCTCTCTTCCCCACCCACACACACTGTGCTTTACGACCTGGTCTCCCGGTGATTATTCGCCAAGGATTTGAGTCAAGTCACAGCAACAAAGCGCGCACATCTGCCCCCCATGTTTTGTTTGTTTGTGTTTGTTTTCCTAGCACAGAACTTCTTCACCTTTTAAAATGTATGATGATCATCGATTTGATGGCTTCAGGCTCCTTCCTGCCCTCAAAGTCCTGAAAGTTGCACACGTTCCATGAAATGGACAAAGGGAGGGGATGTTTATTACCTGGCCGCTGAGAGCGTTGCCTGTGCGATGCTTTTTTACATGCTTTATCTCATTGAATAGTCTCATCCCAATCCTGGAAGATTTTATCAGCATATTATAGATAGAGGAGATATATCTATATTTAGGAGTAGAATCTGCTGAAGTTCATTGCTTCCCAGATAGGCTGCATTCCATTTGATGGGAATCCTTTGGTGCTTTAAATTGGCTCCAGAGTTGGCCCTAGGGTGTTGGATGTTGAAACCTTTCCTCTTCCCCTCCCTGTATCAGGAGCCTGACCTGGCCTGGGCATCCTCACAGCTGACCTTCCCTGGGCACCCTGGGCTGTCCAAGATGACAACCAGAGGGGTAGAGTGTCAGTGACTGATACCCACTCATGAAGAAATGAAGGCACACTGGTATGGGAGTGAGGACACCCCTTCAGGTAGAACTTTCCCTCTCTGAGCCCCGAATGCCCATCTGTCAAGGGAGGGCTTCGAAAAAGGTGATTTGAGAGCTTCTTTTCACTTTGAGCCAGTCTTCTAATGGGAGGGATTTGAAGCCTGATGACATGGTGGGGACAATATTTTTAGGTTGGCATTTTGCGTGCTTCTCACATTATGCCATATGGCCAGAAACATTCCTTCTAGAGAGTGCCATTATTATCTTGGATAAGATGGTGGAATGTTAGAAAAAGAGAATCACAGAAACTCACTGTAATGGGAAATTAAAAGGACAGAATGTCAGAGCTGTGCACAGGGGCCACCCATGTCAGACCCACGCTGTGTCCCAGCACTTAGCACGTTGTTGGCACATGGTGGGTGCTCAAGAAACGAACGAATGAATGAAACTGCAGACTAATTAAGCCCTACAATGATAGAATCTGAGGATCAGTATTGGAATTATGGGAAAATATCATTCACATATTCGGAAGAGGGAACTGAGATCCCAGGGGGTGGGTTATAGAATCTTCTGGGTGCTAAAGGGCCCCCGGGCATGGCTCTTCCTCATCTGGGAGCTCTCAGGGAGGGATGGGTTTGCAGGAAAGGAATTTTCCAGAGGGAGGGGCTCTGGTGCCAACGTTCCGGAGGTCTGGGGCTCCAGCAGCTGGAGGGCAGGGGGCCGCAGGAAAGAAGCGGAGCACAGCCTTAGCAGGGCGGGGTAGGTCCGGTGCACAGCTTGTTGGGGTAACGGGCGTATTTGCGGTCGTAGGTGCCCAGGTTGTCGTGAAAGCAGAGAGCAGCCCTCTTGTCACACTCGCAGGTCTGTTGCTGGCAGGTGGTTCTGCCAGCTGGATGGGACGAGGTGAGTCAGGGCCTGGGCGCCTCGGTCCTGCCACTCTCAGACATGCAGGGGACTGCTCTGTGGTCCCTGTTCTCAGCCCCATTCTGCTGGAAGCCCATTCTCATGGGGGATGTTCCAGGGATGGGTGAGAGAAAGGGCAGAGTCCCGGAGGGCCTGCTGGGGCCCAGGATGCTGGGAAGCCTGGAAGTTTGTTCTCCTGTCCTTTCCCAAGCCCACTCCACTGCCCTTAGCCCTTTCCCCCATGGGGAGACCATCTGGTTCACTAACTGTCGTCCGCCCCAGCCCAGGGAGAGTGCATTTCCAGGCAACTCCTTCTCCCATGTAATGCGTTACTGACAGTGAGGCAGCTGTCAGCCTGAGAGGAAAGCTGGGAAGCTTACAGCAGCTCAACCCCAGATGGCCTCGGCGTGCCCCAGAGGGACTGAAACTGGGGCCCGCTCGGCCGTGCCTGTCTCCCTCAGAGCGGACGAAGCCCATTTTCCTAGCATTAACTTTAGGGCTCCCCCCCCACACGTGGCCACACCCTGCCTGGGGAGCAGAGCTGACGTCAGCTCTGCAGGCACCAGGGGCCCCAAAGTCTCCTCTTCCCTCCACTGCCTCTGTCTGCCCTGACTGGCTCTGGCTCCTTTTTGTCCCCGTGAAGACATCCCCCAGCTCAGAAATATCCAGGTTCCTCACTGTGCTTTGCAAAGGTCAGCCTCGTTCCCCATCCGGGTTCTGCTCTCACCTGCTCTTTCAGCAGCAGTCAGAGTTGGAAGGGGCTTAACAGCCACGTCAGCTCCTTTGGGGGGTTCTTACCAGAAGCTGGATTAAGCCAGGGAACTGAGTGATTGTCTCCCTTTTGTAGATGAGGAAGTAGAGGCTTTTGAGGGGTTACGTCACTTGCCCAAAGACATACAATGGGTAGGTGACTCCCTGACCCGGTGTCCCTTTTCACCTAACACCTCTCCTCACTCATCCTCTCAGTGCCGTCCCTGACAGGTGGCTTCCTAGCCTTGCATGAATCCTCAGGGATGGGGAGCTTACTACCTGTCAAAGCTGCCTTGCTGGGAACAGGCATCTCTGAGCCAAATCTGCCTCCCGTGGTTCTGGTTCTTGTTCTGCCCCTCCCCCGGGACAGATCTTAGAGATCTGAGCTGAGTCTTCTCTGACCCTCCTAGACCCTCCTGCTGTGCCCCACGCTGGGCCTGCCCTCCTTCCAGGCTGCTCCTGGCTTTGCGGCAGGAAGAAGGTTTGGTTCTCTGATCTGAGCTCCCTCCACGGGGCTGGGCTGCGTGGAGCCCTCCGCACTCTGACTCGGGGCAGGCTGCTTCCCCAGGCCGGGGACCAGAGGAAAGCTACTTGGTCCAAGTGGGCACTGGGCCTGGCAAGGATGAGCACTGGTGCACTCAGCCTTTGGGAGCAGGGTCTGCTGTCCCAAATCCAAGCTCCAGCTCTCTCTGTCTGGGGCTCTGCCCTCAAGGCTCTGTCCTGGGAACCTTGCCTCTAGCTGCCACCCAGGCCCTGGGGAGGGCTGTGTGGGTACAGCTGCTCTGGGGCTCAGCTCTACCCCCTTTGGCTCCTCTCCCCAGAGGCTGGAGCTGGGAAGGCTCTGGCTGGGGAAAGTGCCTGGGGTCAGGGCAGGAGCTGATGGGTCATGTGCTCTCTAGGCTGGGTGCCACAGGAGCATCTGGGTGGATGGACAGGTCTCTCCCCACTTCCGTGATGATGGAAGATCCCACGCCCGCCCCAGCCCAGGTGGCCAGGCTCAAGGGGCTCCATCACGAGAGGGTTCCTAGCTGAAGCTCTCCCCCAACCTGGTGTCTGGGGGAGTCTAGGGCTGTTCACTTACCACAGAAGATGCCGTGCCTGCTGGCAGAGAAAAGATACGTTTCCAACATGGGTTCACAGCCCAGCTTCTCCAGACTCCCATAGCAGCAGTCATGGGCGTGGCAGCACCTGTAAGGGTCATGGTTGGCTTGGAGGGGCCTGTGAGCCAGGCTGGGCAGAACCAGGGGCTGCCTGGGGGGCTCAGTGCCCAAAGGGGCTCAAAGTGGAGGTCGGCCCCAACTTTCTAGGTGCCCCCAGCCCCTCCCTCCTCCCAGGATGCTCCCCCGGCCTCTCCATCCTCCAGCGAGGTGCTCTACCTGCTGGGCCACCTGCTCACCAGTCTGTCTGGTCCACTGGCCCGTGGGAGCCGCCGAAACCACAGTGGCAACCATAGTCAATGTACTGCAGCGCAGGCTGCCCCTTCATTCTCTCAGTCATCACCCCGAACTGGACCAGGTTCCCGACAGCCAGGGCCACTGCTGGGAGGGAGGGTGGAGGAGGTCAGCTCCCTCAGGGCCCCACCCTCTGCAGCCAGCTGCCCCTGATGTGCCCCCAAACCTGAGTCCAGACATCTCTCCGATTGTCTAGGTGACCTCACCTCCCTAAGCACCTCATTCCCAATACTAACAATGCTAAGCAGTAATAATATCCCCATGACATCATCGCACCTTGATCCCCTAGTCCTCACCCGCGTCGTGTCAGCACACGTGACCCCCCTACCCCCCACTCCGCTCTCCTTCCACCATCTCCCAGAATACCACCCACTCATCCTCCGGGGTCCCAACCCTTCCTGATCACCTCCCCAGGTGTCAGCCCCATCCCCGCAGGAACTCTGTCCCTGTCAAGTCCCATCAGATGTCACTGGATAAGCTTCCAAACCACCTGGACTTCCCCAAATTCCTCTAGGTCCTGATGATGCAGCAGTGGGGGGCTGCTGACCCGGGCAGGTTAGAGCCAAAAATGGAAACTTAAGTGAGGGATGGAGCGGGGGTGGCAGGAGCTCGTGTGCTGTCTGGGATCCCTGCCAGCCCCTCTCCCCCGCCCCACCGGGCCCTCCGGGCTGCTGTCTTCCCCTCTCCCCCCTCTCCACTGACTAGTGATGGCTCCGGAAGAACTGGCCTCCTCAGGATGTCCAATCACACCCTCCTCAGGGCCCAGCTCAGGGGCCTCCAGGGAGTTGGGGATTCCTAGCTGGGGCAGGGGAGGGGTAAAGGCAGGAAGGTTACTTACCCATGAGGCAAAGTAAGGTCAGAAGAGGGGGAAGCTTCATTCTGCTGGGAGGGGAGGGGTGCAGGGAGTAGAGAAGCTGGGCTGAAGGAGAAGGAAGTCAGCAGGCGTGCCTCTGATCTCAAGGCCTCTCCGCATTAGTTAAATACCAGGGTCCTGTCCACTCCCCCTCATTAACCCCTGAATGCCCAGTGACGTAATGATACTTCCTGGTCTGACACTTTGGCCAAGTCTCCAGGGGAGGGGCCAGCCTGGGGCCTGTGGGCTCTGCTTCCAGGCAGTTTGGGGAAGGTGGGGGTCGATCTGTGGGCTTTCTTCTCTCCGCCCTTCCCCTCCCCTCCTCCTTTCCCCAAATCACCGTGCTTGGTCCCACCTAGGCGCTCTTCATTCTTGGTGTCTTTTTCTCATTCCCATTTCACTGATGCAGCCTAGAGAGGCTGAGAAACTTAAGTTCTCAGCTCCCTTGGCCAGGGAGCACCAAGGGCAAGTCTGTCCTGTTTCCATGACGCTAGCTACTTCAGCATGGCCCCGACTCCCCTTCCTGCCCCTCAACCAGCCCCTGTGTCACCCAGACGGAGAGTGGTGATGGCAACTTGACTCCATAACAGGGGGCCACTTGTCCAAGAACCTAGAATGCAAAGCCTGGGCGCTCAGCCAGCTGGGCTTAGGGTTTTTTCTTTATTGTTCTTTCCTGGGCAGGCTCCTGCTTGTTTGACAGGTAGCGAAAATACTCCCAGTTAAGAATTCTGTCTCCCCAAACCCTCGAGTAGTGGTGGAGCATGGCTGCCATAGAAACAGGCTCCATCTGACTCAGCTGGAAAACCCACATTCCGGCATGAACTGGAAACTTCCATCCTTTTGATGTCATCTTAGGGCCTGGGTCGGGGAGACAGTAGCCTCCTGGTCCAACTTGGCCCCCAGAGAGAGCTGCTGTCCCCATCGTCGGGTCAGAACACTGAGGCCGGGCTTCAAAGCTTGGCTGGAGGTTCGTGGGATGGAGGAGAGGACTCGGCTCTGTCGTGATCAGAAATGTCGAGGTCCCACAAAATGCAAGACCAATTTATGATAAAAACCCTCCATGCATAAAAAGCATGCATAGAGGGAACTTACCTCAACATAATAAAGGCCAGATATGACAAACCCACAGCCAATATCGTTCTCAATGGTGAAAAACTGAAACCATTTCCACTAAGATCAGGAACAAGACAAGGTTGCCCACTCTCACCAGTATTATTCAACATTGTTTTGGAGGTTTTAGCCACAGCAATCAGAGAAGAAAAAGAAATAAAAAGAATCCAAATCAGAAAAGAAGAAGTAAAGCTGTCACTGTTTGCAGATGACATGATACTATACACAGAGAATCCTAAAGATGCTACCAGAAAACTACTAGAGCTAATCAATGAATTTGGTAAAGTTGCAGGATACAAAATTAATGCACAGAAATCTCTGGCATTCCTATACACTAATGATGAAAAATCTGAAAGAGAAAGTAAGGAAACACTCCCATTTACCATTGCAACAGAAAGAATAAAATATCTAGGACTAAACCTACCTAAGGAGACAAAAGACCTGTATGCAGAAAACTATAAGACACTGATGAAAGAAATTAATGATGATACAAACAGATGGAGAGGTATACCATATTCTTGGATTGGAAGAATCAACATTGTGAAAATGACTATACTACCCAAAGCAGGATAATCTGTCTATTGGTGTAAGTGGGGTGTTAAAGTCTCTCTCTATTATTGTGTTACTGTCGATTTCTCCTTTTATGGCTGTTAGCATTTGCCTTATGTATTGAGGTGCTCCTATGTTGGGTGCATATATATTTATAATTGTTATATCTTCTTCTTGGATTGATCCGTTGATCATTATGTAGTGTCCTTCCTTATCTCTTGTAACAGTCTTTATTTTAAAGTCTATTTTATCTGATATGAGTATTGCTACTCCAGCTTTCTTGTGATTTCCATTTGCATGGAATATCTTTTTCCATCCCCTCACTTTCAGTCTGTATGTGTCCCTAGGTCTGAAGTAGGTCTCCTGTAGACAGCATATATAAGGGTCTTGTTTTTGTATCCATTCAGGCAGTCTGTGTCTCTTGGTTGGCGCATTTAATCCATTTACATTCAAGGTGGTTATTGATATGTATATTCCTATTACCATTTTCTTGATCGATTTGGGTTTCTTTTTATGGGTCTTTTTCTTCTCTTGTGTTTCCCACTTAGACAAGTTCCTTTAGCATTTGTTGTAAAGCTGGTTTGGTGGTGCTGAATTCTCGTAGCTTTGTAAAGCTTTTGATTTCTCCATCGAATCTGAATGAGATCCTTGCTGTGTACAGTAATCTTGGTTGTAGGTTTTTCCCTTTCATCACTTTAAATATGTCCTGCCACTCCCTTCTGGCTTGCAGAGTTTCTGCTGAAAGAGCAGCTGTTAACCTTCTGGGGATTCCCTTGTATGTTATTTGTTGTTTTTCCCTTGCTGCTTTTAATATTTTTTCTTTGTATTTAATTTTTTGATAGTTTGATTAATATGTGTCTTGGCGTGTTTCTCTTAGGGTTTATCCTGTATGAGACTCTCTGCACTTCCTGGACTTGATTAACTATCTCCTTTCCCATGTTAGGGAAGTTTTCGACTATAATCTCTTCAAATATTTTCTCAGACACTTTTTTTTCTCTTCTTCTGGGACCCCTATAATTTGAATGTTGTGCATTTAATGTTGTCCCAGAGGTCTCTGAGACTGTCCTCAATTCTTTTCATTCTTTTTTCTGCTCCCTGAAAGTTATTTCTACCACTTTCCCTTCCAGCTCAATTATCTGTTTTTCTGCCTCAGTTATTCTGCTATTCATTCCTTCTAGGGTTTTTTTTTTTTTTTTTTTTTTTTTTTTTTTTTTTTGCGGTACGCGGGCCTCTCACTGTTGTGGCCTCTCCCGTTGTGGAGCACAGGCTCCGGACACGCAGGCTCAGCGGCCATGGCTCACGGGCCCAGCCACTCCGCGGCATGTGGGATCCTCCCGGACCGGGGCACGAACCCGCGTCCCCTGCATCGGCAGGCAGACTCTCAACCACTGCGCCACCAGGGAAGCCCATCTAGAGTATTTTTAATTTCAGTTATTGTGTTGTTCATCACTGTTTGTTTGCTCTTTAGTTCTTCTAGATCCTTGTTGAATGTTTCTTTTATTTTCTCCATTCTATTTCTGAGATTTTGGATAATCTTTACTATCATTACTTGGAATTCTTTTTCAGGTAGGTTGCCTATTTCATGTTCATTTATTTGGTCTTGTAAGTTTTTACCTTGCTCCTTTGTCTGTAACATTTTTTTTTTTTGATGGGTGGAACTGTATTCCTGTCTTACTGGTTGTTTGGCCTGAGGCTTCCAGCACTAGAGTTTGCAGGCAGCTGGATAGAGCTGGGTCTTGGTGCTGAGGTGAGGACGTCTGGGAGGCCTCATTCTGATGAATATTCCCTGGGGTCTGAGGTTCTCTGTTAGTCCAGCGGTTTGGACTTGGAGCTCCCACCACAGGAGCTTGAGCCTGACCTCTGGCCTGGGAACTAAGATCCCACGAGCCGTGTGGCAAGGAAAAAAAAAAAAAAAAAAAAAAAACAGCAATACAATAACAAAGAATGAAAAACAAAATAAAATTAGAAAGATAAAAAATATAATTGAAACAACTGCAATAAGGTAAAATAAAACCACAACAGAAAAAAAAAAAAAAAAAAAGCCTTGACCATGGGGCGTGGAGTTTAGGCGGGGCAGGAACTTAGGCAGGGGTGGGGTTTAGGGTGAGGTGGGACCTAGGCCGGTCGAGGGGTGATGTTCAGGCGTGGGGCAGGGCCTGGGCCCTGCTTAGCACCTGTGCAGAAGGGGAGAGGCCGCACCTCCAAAGGAGGGCCTCCGGAGTGTGGAGTTCCGGAGTTGGGAGCTAAGGCCCTGGGTGACGGGGTGTGGGTGGAGTTTAGACTCAGCGCACTGGAGGGGGTCTCCCAGTGTAGAGGTGGGCCCTGGCGGGGGGGGGGGGTGTAGGGGCGGGGTTTGGGCTCTGCGCTGGCAAGAGGGAGGCTCCAAGGGCAGAGGATTAGGCCTGGGAGCCCAATAGGCTCCCTAGTGCCAAAGTGCACAGGGAAAGCGCTGGCCACCTTCCCTTCCGTTGCTCCGCCCCCCCACCCCCGCACGGTCCACCCCCAGGGTCTCCCCGTACCCGCTGGACCCCTAGCCATGAGTGGGTCCAAGTGGGTGTAGGAACTCCTCCCCTCCTCCAGCCACCCCTCAGGGGTGCCGATCCTGGAGGTCCAGCCTTTACTTTTGCTCCCCCTTCCCTCCCTCCCACTCCCTCAGGACCCGCGCGGCTGGAGGGGGCCTTGGTGGGCAGAGGATCAGGCCCGGGATCTCAGCAGGCTCCCCGGGGCCCAAGTAGGCAGGGGAAACCTGGCCACGCTCCCGTTTGATCCTCTGCCCTCCCAGTTTCCCGCTTCGCGCCTGAGATCCCTTCCCCTCCCCCGCGCCGCCCCTGAGGGGTGCCAGTCCTCTCCTGCCTCCACTTCTCCTTCTCCCTCCCTCCCCCCCGCGCTCACATCATACCAGGTCGCTGGGGGTTCCTCCTGACCCCTTAGGTGTCCGTGGTCCCCCACCGGTGCCTGGTAGGTACCCTCGCTGTGCAGAGACGCGAATTCCACGTCCTCCTAGTATGCCATCTTGACTCCGCCCTGAGCTCTTCTAGTTCATGAGTCATCCAGTTTCCTTTCACCAAATTCCTTTCTGACTTTGGTTAACCAGAGTAGGTTTCTGTAACCGTTCAATGTGCTTGCAAACAAAAACCTTTATTTCATATAGAAATTGGCACCAGAAAGAAGGTTGTAAGCAATAGGCCCTGGGATAGGTTAACGGGCACAGACGGGGCCATGATTTTCGAACGCCAGCTGCCCATGGTACCCATAGTCATTAAACAGCCACCTGCTCACAAGGGCAAAGCTTGGCGTGCTGGGTGCTTGCTGACATACAACAACTTAAGAGGGATGAGGAATAGAAAGACCTCATGACGGGCTGATTGTTTTGATGGCATTTGGTTAAAGAGGGAGGTATTTATCATACCCAGGACCACGCAACATATTATATGTCAGATTTGTTTATTTCTTCTGTTCTCCCCTCATAGAATGTGAGTTCCTTGAGGGCAGACACTGTCTCGAACACTGTTCTTCCTCCAGTGCCTAGAACAATGCCTGGCACAAGGTAGGCACTTAAGTGAGCAAATGCATGCACGACTAAACAGCGAGCTCTAGTTTAGAATTTCTAGAGTAAGAAATAGAAGCGTTATCCCAGAAAGAGTCAAAAGAATTTGCTAATTCGTATTATAAAAAGATCTGGGGAGAAATTGTGAGAAAAGATGTTGAGGCTCCCCCACCAAGAGTAAAATGTTGTGTCAGGTTGAACTTATTACTCTGGATGCCCTAGCCCAAGGTTCTGTAATTCACTGTGCTAATCTGGGCAGCTCTGTGAGTCTAATGTCGCCTGGGTTGGCGAACTCACATGCTGGTTCACGGCATGTGGAAAGTCAGAACTCATTGTCTTAACATGGAGTATCAACCAGAAAACCACAGAAGACTGCAAATAAGAAAAGAGTGTATTTGGGGTCTTAAGAACTGCAAGTTAGGGGCTTGCCTGGTGGAGCAGTGGTTAAGAATCCTCCTGCCAATGCAGGGGACACGGGTTCAAGCCCTGGTCCGGGAAGATCCCACATGCCGCAGAGCAACTAAGGCGGTGTGCCACAACTACTGAGCTTGCTGTCTAGAGCCCGCGAGCCACAACTACTGAGCCCTCGTGCCACAACTACTGAAGCCCGTGTGCCTAGAGCCTGTGCTCTGCAACAAGAGAAGCCACTGCAATGAGAAGCCTGCGCACCGCAGCGAAGAGTAGCCCCCACTCGCCACAACTAGAGAAAGTCCGCACGCAGCAACGAAGACCCAACGCAGCCAAAAGTAAATTAAAGAAAAAAAAAAGAATAGAATTGCAAGTCAGGAGACACAGATTCCGGTAAAGTGGAAAGAGTGTTCTGGGGAAGAGAAGGAGTCAGGGGCTTATAAAGGCAAAAGCCATGAAGCTGTACTCTGATACAAGAAAGGAAATATTTGTGCTTAAGGGATGGCTATCATGGGTCGTTTTAGGGTA